GACTCATTATCTCGCCCTTACTAGTTACAAACTTAGGATGTCATTGTTACCAACGACGGAGCCACAATCCTCAAGCAATTGGAAGTTGAACACCCAGCTGGAAAGGTTCTTGTAGAACTTGCTCAATTACAAGATGAAGAGGTTTCAATATTTTGTTTTATTTAATTATCGTTCCTTTTGAGGTTGGTGATGGTACCACTTCTGTCGTTATTGTAGCCGCTGAGCTCCTCAAGTCTGCTGATGAACTTGTCAAGAATAAGTTGCACCCTACCACTGTCATCAACGGATACAGATTGGCTTGCAAAGAAGCTGTGAAATACATGCAGGTATTACTTCCATTTTGTTCTTTTGTTTAATTTTTCGCTTGAAGGAAAGCCTGTCCTTCACTGTTGATGAGCTTGGCAGAAAATCACTCATTGGAGCTGCAAAAACCTCCATGAGCAGCAAGATTATTGGACCGTGAGTATTTCTGCCATTAAGATGTTAATTGTTTCTAATAGTGACTCTGATTTCTTCGCCACCATGTGTATTGATGCCGCTGAAGCTGTCAAGGTTACTGATTCTACCGGAAGAGTAAGTCTACTTATAACCCGGTGGTTTCAAACTATCATATTGTTCAGGTTACTTACCCAATCAAGGCCGTTAATGTCTTGAAGGCTCACGGAAAGAGTGCTCGCGAATCCATCCTTGTCAAGGGATACGCCTTGAACTGCACAGTTGCTTCTCAAGGTTATAACTTTTTTCCAGTTATTATTAAATTGCTTTTCTTTAGCTATGCCACTGAGAATTCAAAACCCCAAGATTGCTTGCTTGGACTTCTCCCTACAAAAGGCTAAGATGCACTTAGGAATTTCTGTTGTTGTTGAAGATCCTCAAAAATTGGAAGCCATCCGCAGAGAGTAGACTCATTTACTATTAATGATTTTCATTCGATTCATTTGTAGGGAATTCGATATCACCAAGCGTAGAATCGAAAAGATCTTAAAGGCTGGAGCCAATGTTGTTCTCACAACTGGAGGTACCGTGGACGATTGATACCTGAGCTATGATTTTTTTTAGGAATTGACGATTTATGCTTGAAACAGTTCGTCGAAGCTGGAGCAATGGCCGTCAGACGCTGTAAGAAATCCGATCTCAAGAGAATTGCCAAGGCTACCGGAGGTATCAGAGTTTTCATCTAATAACTTTCAACGAGTTCCATATTAGCCACTCTCACTTCATCCTTGGCCACCTTGGAAGGCGAGGAAGCTTTCGATGCTGCTTTCTTGGGTAGCGCTGATGAAATCGCTCAAGAGCGTATCAGTGACGATGAGTTGATTCTCATCAGAGGTCCCAAATCCAGAACTGCCAGTTCTATCATCCTCAGGTTCGTTAGTGGTCACCTCCTATCAAACCATCGGTTATTTATAGAGGAGCTAATGATGTTATGCTCGATGAAATGGAGCGATCTGTTCACGATGCCCTTTGCGTTATTAGAAGAGTCTTGGAATCCAAGAAGCTTGTTGCTGGAGGTGGAGCAGTTGAAGCTGCTTTGAATGTCTGGCTCGAGGCTTTCGCCACTACTTTGGTAATATTAACGCATTAGCTATTGTTAAACAGTTTATTTTAGTCTTCTCGCGAACAATTAGCTGTTGCTGAGTTTGCTAACGCTCTTCTCGTTATCCCTAAGACCCTCTCCTCTAATGCTGCCAAGGACGCCACAGAACTTGTTGCCAAGCTTAGAGCCTACCACAGCAAAGCTCAACAAACTGCTCAATTGAAGCATTTGAAATGGTGAGATAGAAAGAAAATGAATCTTATAAAGATATTCTCTGTTTAGGGCTGGACTCGATCTTGAAAATGGAGAAATAAGAGACAACAAAGAGGCCGGAGTTTTGGAGCCACTTCTTAGCAAAGTATTTTCGATCTATTCAGCTCCATTACTATATACATTTTCTAGGTTAAATCTCTGAAGTTCGCTACTGAGGCTGCCATAACCATTCTCCGAATTGACGATCTTATCAAGTTGGATAAACAAGAAGCTCCACAAGGAGACCAATGCGGAATGTAGATGAACGATGATCTGACCCTGTCAAGTTTGCTAAAATTGTTTTATTGTTTTTATTCGCGCGTTGCTTCTCAACTGATCGATCTTACGCTTTGTTTGCAGTTTTAATTGTTGTTTCGCTTCCGTTTTTGTTAAGTGATTTCAAGTAAAAATTTTGATAACTTATTCTCTTTTCTCCTTGGTTTACTCTCATCGCCATGGCTTCCCAGCCGTTGATGTTCTTGGATATGAGTTCAGGTTTTGGTCTCTATGAAGACATGATCTGACTTCTTAGACACAGAATGGAAACCAATCTGCATCTTCTCATCACTGGTCGTTACAAAGATGATACCATGTTCGATACTCCAGATTATCATGTTCATGAAACTCGCGATACCGTCTTCAGCATCGAACTGGTAAACAAATGTTTTCGATGTTGTGGAGTTTCATCAAAGTAGCATTTCATGCAACATTTCACGTGTTGAGCTGAGCTGTTGGGAAACTACAAAGATTGTTTTGTGCCAACAACACAGCTTTATTGTTTTCTGCCGATAGCTGATAATGAGATTCTTTGCTACTTCGGCTGCATTCGATTTACGTTCTCATCTCAATCTGTTTCGAGTCCTTGATTTGATATTCTTCCGTTGAAGGTTATGCTCGATGACAGCCTGTATCTCAACATTATGAAAGTTTTCTCCATATGCCAAGTTCTCATTATGACAGTAACATTCTACTTCTTTCACCGGCAAGGAGATTCTCTTATGTCGAAGACCCTACACCGCATTCTCCTCGTTCATCTCATTCTGTAAGTTTGAATTAATTTTAATTTCGTTTTATCCTATCCTAGATGTACGCTTTCGGGATCTTGGTTGCTGATAGTGGTACAACCACTTCTCATCTTACCATGCGTGGCCTTTTATTCGGACGGACCCTTAAGTTACGTGCTTGATGTCCCCAGTACTGAAATTTTTGGATTCCAACTGGTTTGCTTATTAGGTACAGGTTACAAGATGACTTCTTCTCAAATCCTCTTCTTTCGCTCAAAAGGACAGACAATGGTTCTGGTTTGTCTGCTAACTTGGCAAGGTCTAGCGGTCCTGGTGCAACTTCGCTCGAAGACGAAGTACTATATACAGCAATTGTTCCTGCTCCATAGTGCTCTAATAATGTTTATAACTGCCTCAATATACCCGGCCTACAAATTATTTCCAACACCCGTAGAGCCGTGTCTCAAGGTTGCCTCTGGTTCTGTCTTCACCTCTGTTGTTTAACCTTTAGGCCGCCGGAATCACGAACCCCACAAAAGCCCAATTGGCAGCTTTCGTACTCGATCTGAGAGATCTAAAAACACAATTCATTATCTATACGTATTTAGAGACTGTTATATTTTATGGAATTTTCGGAATTGTCTCCTGCACGACATTAATTTACAAACTGAATGAGAAACGCAAAGCAAGTAGTCAAGCGAATATCGCAAAGCAGAAGGCTATCTCAATAACAGTTCTGGCATTGGTTCATTCATATGTAAGTACTCTTATCTCATGATTTTCATTGTTTCAGGCTTCTGTGGAAATATCTTTCATATCTGTACCAGCAGTCTTCTTTTTCTTCCAGTATATCACAGAGAGCTACAACGAATGTAACACTTCCCTTATCATGTTGCCTCCTATACATCCTTTCCAGTTATTATCAAAGTGTCTATATTAGTAATCGCTTTTAGTCACATCATTGGACCTCTAGCACTCCTGTTCACTCTGAAAACCTTCCGGGAAACGATATTCAGATGTTCCCGATTCGAGAAAAAACCGACTGTTACATGTCCCGGCAACACAAGTACGTTTTGCTATAAGGACTGGTATAGATATCTGTTACAGTTACTCTGATGACCATAAAAGGGACCTAAAGCAACTTTTGGAAAAGCCGTTCACTGTAGCTTCTAACTCCGATATGTCTGAAAAGATTGCAACACCTCCGTTACAACTCCAATTTTCAAATGAGTCCCGAACCGTCTTGTGGGCGCCAAACCTAGTATCTCGTACATTTTCGTATTTTTCACCGTTTTGGATATGTTGTTGTATTTGTTTCTCGTTCCGTTGGTCTCCTTCATTCTCTCTCACTTATTACTTGCGACAATCACTCCGAGATTACCTGCAGAGGTGCATCTTGCGTTCGTGCTCAGCTCATCTTCTCATACATAAACGGTTTTTGAACCGGAAGCGCTGGTTGTGTAGAGTAGGCAGTCGAAACAAATCCAATCAACCGAAAACTTACACTTGGTTGTACATATTGGTAAACAGATGCATTCATATAAGATGGTGCGGAGCTAATCATAGTAGGATTTCATGCTACATTTCTAATGTTGAAAGATGAATAAATCTTGCGAAACTACAAAGATTGTTTTGTATCAATAGAATTTACTGTTTTTTTCGTTTCGATCAGGTTATAATGAGATTTCTTGCTACGCCGACTTCGTTCTCACTAGAAGCTGAAGCTATTCCAAGTAATTGATTTCAATATCGCACACTTCAGGATATGCTCGACGATAGGTTATATCTTAGAATTATGAACGTCTTCACCGTTTTTCAAACTCTCACCATCATAATAACATTCTACTTTTTCCTCCGACGAGGAGAATCTGTCATGTCGAAGACCTTAAATCGCATTCTCTTCATTCATTTAATACTGTGAGTTATACATTAGAAGATTATTGCATAGCCTCGTTCCCAGTTGTTCGTTTTCGGGACTTTGGATGGTGATGGTTTCTCGACCACTTCCAATCCTTCCATGTTTGGCGTTTTACTCTGCCGGACCTCTAACTTATAACTTCAATATCTCCAGTATAGAAGTCATTTCATTCCTATTGGTTAGTATAGCAGGTTATTACTAACAGTTTTCTCCCCTTCTCTAAAATCTCGCTTTGAAGCAGAGTCAGCAGTCGTGGTCTGTCTTCTGCTGTGGCAATGCCTAGCTGTTCTGGTCCAGATTTCCTCTCGGAGGAAGTATTATTTGAGGCTTATTTTTTTTGTCCACACTTTTATGCTTATATTCGTAACTGCTGCTATATTCCCCATGTTCAAATTCTTCCCATACCCTGTACAACCGTGTCTCAAGGTATTCTTCGGTACCTCCTTTGTCTCAGATTTTTTACGCTAAGGCTGCTGGAATCACTCGTCCAGATAAAGCCCAATTGGGAGCTTTCGTGGTGGATGTGAAAGACGTAAGAACACAAATCGTTCTCTTCACTTACGTAGAAGGTTTATTATACTTCGGTGGGTGCAGTATCGGCTCCTGCATAATGTTAATTCGTAAACTTAATGAGAAGCGTGAAGTTGTCAGCCAAGCGAATACTTCAAATCAGAAAGCCATAACAGTAACAGTCCTAGGACTAGTTCGTTCAGACGCTAGTTCCCACTTTCAATGATTGAATGTTCAGGCTTCAGTGCAGACTGTCTTCGCGTTGGTACCGGTAGCCATCTTCCTTATAGAGTACCTATGCGAGCTGTATGACGAAAGTAACGTTACTCAAACGAGGGTCACTCCAATATATCCATTTCAGTTGCTATCAAGATGTCCATACTGTTGTTCGCTTTCGGTCAGATAGTAGAACCGTTAGCTCTGCTTTTCACTCTGAAGACCTTTAGGAGAACGTTATCTAAGTGGTTCCGATTAAGAAAGAAGGTATCTGCTACACGTTCGGTTAATACAGGTACGTTTCGTTCTAATCACTGATGAAAATACTGTGCTTAGCAACCATCATTTCGATGATCAAAGTAAGATAGAGCAACTCCTCGAATAGGCTTTTATCCGAGCGACAAACATCGATACATCTGAATGGAAAGCAAATCCTCCTGCTACAACCTCGCGTTTTCAGATGAATTGCAAACTGCCTTGTGGTTGCAATTGAGCGCCAAACCTGGAACCCTTTGAATTTTACAATTGTTTGTGTTTATACTTTTTCAGTTCTAGATGAAACATTCCAAGCCGCGCAAACCTACTCCAACATGAAAATCTGAGGCTCATGATCCCTTCCTATTGCACATACGTCCCTCTCCATCCTTCTCGAAACTCGATTCTAAATTCTTTCTGATTTCATTATTAGGGTTGAATCTGCAAGCACGTTTCATAATCTGAAGACGATTCTCATTTCTGTGCCCAAAAGAATAAACAAAAGCTCAGCGAAGATAGCAACGGCTCATTTTCATGCAACATTTCTTATTCTGAACGATGAATAAATTTTGTGAAACTACAAAAGAGCTTTTTGTATGAACACATTTCACTGTTTTTTATCACCATTAGGTTACGAGACTACAGTTGCTGGTCCATTTCGTCAACATTCAGGGTGAAGCATTTCCTTGTGTTTCATCTCGCTATGCTAGATGATAGCTTCTACCTTAACATCCTCAAGATAATATCTATTCTCCATATCTTTACTATCCTGGTAACATTTTACTTCTTTCTCCGACGCTCTGATACTACGATGTCTAGGACCCTATATCGCCTTCTCTTCTTTCATATTATTCTGTAAGTTATAACTTGTGCGAGTAAAGTATAACATCATTACTAGATCGGCACTTTCGGGATTATGGATGGCAACATTGGCTCCTCCACTTCTCCTCATACCATGTGTGGCGTTTTATACCATGGGTCCTTTACATCAAATATTCAGGGTTCCCAGTACTGAAATCTATACATTCCAACTTCTCTGTATAGCAGGTTATTGTTATTAAGAGTCTTTCTTTCCCTCTAACAACTCGGTTTGCAGGAGAGTCAGCAGTCGTGGTTTGTCTGCTGACATGGCAAAGTCTTGCTGTTCTTGTTCACCTTCCGGCCAAGACGAAGCATTATATAAAGCAATTCTTTCTATATCACACTGCTTTTGTGATGATAGTCATTGTTTCAATCTATCCTATTTACAAGTTTTTTCCAACTCCCATAGGACCGTGTTTCAAGGTTCCTTAAGTTACTGCCTTCAATTGAGGTTTCTTACGTTTAGGCCGCCGGAATCACTAATCCAAATGATGCGCAATTACTAACTTTCATATTGAATCCGAGAGATCCAAAGGCCCGATTTATTGTCCTAGTCTTTCTGGAAGGTACATTATTTTATGCATTCTATGGTTTATCCTCCTGCGTAATCTTGGTGTATAAGCTAAACGAACAACGGGAAACTAGCAGCCGAACCAACACTTCCACGCAGCAGACTATCACAACAACCCTCCTCATATTGGTATCTATTGCTATTCCTGTTTCTTTTCACTATTCTCGTTTCTTCAGGCTGGCATAGAAGTTTTATGTGTGGTTTTACCAATATTCATCTTCCTTATAGAGTACCTGTTCGAGCTGTATGACGAAAGTAACGTTACTCAAACGAGGGTCACTTCGATGTATCCATTTCAGTTGCTATCAAAATGTGTATACTGTTTTTCGGTGTCGGTCATATTATAGAACCGATAGCTCTGCTGTTCACACTCAAAAGTTTTCGGGAAATATTATTTAAATGTTTCCGATTTGGAAAGAAGTCACGGCCGGTTAACAAAAGTACGTCTCGTTCTAAACACTGATAATAACAACTCTCATAGTAACTATGATTACGATGATCAAAGGAACTTCAACCAGATTTTAGAAAGTTCATCATCTGTCTCAATAACCTGGATCTGCTCTCGGTAAATGTACCTTCTGATATGGCTTGACAAACAACGCTGTAACTACAATCAAGTGCCTGGCCTCGCCTGAAATCTTTTCGTTTTTTTGTATTTTCCTCGTTTTTAGTCTCCCTGTTGTATTTGTTTCTTGTTCGATTATACTTTCGAACCTCCAATCAGAATTGTCTCTATTCTATTCTCAGAATTGTCTTGCAGTTATTCACACAGTTGAATTCTAGAGCTTGATGATCAAGTTGTGTGAAACCGGAGACTATGCCTTAGGAAGGCTCATCATGCGAGTTTTGGTTAAAATGAGAAGAGCTGAGCTCAAACGTGTGGAAGTCATTGATCATTTTTTGAAAGGTCTGGACAATTTCGAACAAATATGTAACTCGAATATTCGCAGGCAGAGAGTTGTGAAGAGCTGTTTATCATTTCATGCCAAGTTTTTCATACACTTGGCTACACATTTCGGTTTTATAGCTGTGACGTGCGTGAAGAAAACAACGAAAAAACCGTTCAGCAAAAGCTTTCTCGACACTGTAAATATCAACATTAGATACTTCTATGGCTACACCTACAACTTTGCAAATCCAAACGAAATTTGGATCTGGAATGTGACAACAGGTTAGGATGGAGTGTAGAATGGTTTCATGTTCTCTCTATAAAACTTTGAATGATCTCATTGTGTATGAAAGCTTCAACTGTCTCATACATCCTCTCTGTGATGAAATTTGAAATGTTGAGGGCGCGAAAGAAGAGGGGTTACCCGATGACTGCTAAACGTATGTGAACGTCTAAGTGATAATACCGTTTATTAGATAGATGTATATGCACTATTGTAAGATATCTACAAGACCCGATATGCTGTTGATCACAGAGCTTAGTTAACGCTTGAGTTCCTTGAATTTAGAGTCAGCTATGACTTATCGCCCGTTTCTGCTTGCTTCTTTTCCGGCACCTTCTTGACCGTTTGAACTTTCTTTTTTTGAGCTGGCTTCTTCGTTGTTGTTGTTGTTGTTTCGTTCTTTATGAAGTAATCATCATCCACATACTCTAATTCTAGAAAACAAGTTATTCCAATTTCGTCGTCAAAGGGTTACCTTCTGTTCTCCCAAAAACTCGGAGTGAGCTTGAAGTATAATGAGCCATTCTTATTTCCTTGTATGTAAGTTGTCCAAATGTGACGGCATGGTCCGAGCAACAATCGTACCCCATCTGCAAAATGAAGTATATCATCGTTCATTCACCAATGAAGCTCAAACCTTGTTTCCCTTTTCTTTCTCTTGGTAAGATTTTGACACAACTGTCTTGAAGTTGAGGTAATTGAATAAGTGCATTCCTTCCTGAAAACAGAGTTGAACTGATGAATCGGAGGAGCAGGGAGTCACCTCGTCAATGGGATCAACTATCGTCAAATTTCGATCGAATATACAAGAATATAGAGACGTCTCTGTGAATGTTGGCCACAAACCATCATGACAAGTATGAAGAGCTGTTATAGCTGAAGAAGACATCACAACACCACCTTGTAGCGGAATTCGCATTCGGTTGAGAAATGGGAAAATATATGTGGGTATGGAGCTTCAGATAATGATATAAGCAAGAAGATAAAGCTGAACTTACTTGTCTTGAACGGCTCGGGAAAGTATGACAGATTTCGAGTAGTCGAAGTATTGCATAGTTTTCCTAAGATTCTCGACAACTAGGTAGCTCTGTTCATCCAAGAAGACTGTCCATGGCACAGGTGGCTATAACAAGTTCGTTTTAGATGTTTGGATGAACGAAGCCAACTCACATCAGCTGATAGCTTCATAACCATGAGGAAATATTCCCAATAGAAAGCATTCGAATGAGTATCCAAGTAGATGACATTGAGGTCTGTGAAAAAAGGTTAATATGAATATAAAGCATGAAAAGTCAATCATACCTGCGATTTGTTTAGACAGTTTCTTATCATTTGTGTAGTAAATAGTTTGATTACACTCCTTTCCATACGTGTCTCGGATGGCGGTTAGGAAGTTCGAAGCTTTCTGAAAATACTCGGTTACGATCGTGGGATGAGCATGTGTACCTTAGTTTTCGGATGAATCATTACCACACATCTCAAGATGAACAGAGTGTCATTGTGGGTTACGGGACCTTGAAGTAAAAAGTAATATTTCAACGCTTCAGACAGTTACTATGGAAATCGATGGATGAATGTAGGTTGGCAGCATCTTCTAGATTTGAATTGAATCCTATTCGGCCTATCAAAAATCCCAGAAAAACTCCTATTAATAGAGGACCACATGCATCTCTGAAACAATTCAATGAGTAAGATGATATAATTAATAAATGTTACTTTATGGACACCCTTCTGACAGATGCACGAGGCCTCAGAAGCCTATAGCCATATCGGGTCAAACCATTCATGACATTTAGCTTCTGAAAAGTAAAAGCGAACTGTGAAAAGAAGTACGTTGTAATGCAAGAGACAGACAGAGGCGACACCAAAGCAAACAAAGACAATCTCGACCAAGCTTTCCTTCGCGCGACCGTTTCGATTTCTTCCCGATATTTATGAATATTAACACATAGAGAGAGAGAAATGTGCTAACAGCATGTATGTTTAGGCAAAACAGGCGTATTTTAATTCGAAAATCGATTGGGTCGGCATCATACAAGAGAAACGTGTGTTTCAACTCAAACTCAATCAAGAGAAGATTGGTCAGCAAGACTGAGGAACGTTCTTCTTCTCATTAAACGCTCTCGCGAAGTCGGAAGAAAGACTAAGACCGATGAAAGACTATTGAAATAACGAAAACTTCCATGAATTACAGAATTCACACGCACACACTCGGGAAGTGAAAGAAAAGAAGAATGTTCATGACATTTCCATAAAAGTAGGTTATTCGGAGACGATTATAAAACTTGAATGTCCAAAAACATATTTAGATTTCCATTTTTAAACTCTTGACACCTTCGCTGAATTTTTGAAATTCAGACAAGGCGGTCCAAACAGACCACGAACGGGTTTGCAAATAGGATATTCGCAGGTCTCGCTCACCTCCCCATTTATATAGATGTGAAGGATTTGAGTTGGATAGGTATCAATCAATCATCAATAATCTGACCCATTTGTAATGAAAAACGATAGGAACTAGTTATTGTACTCGTTAACATTCAAAGTAATTTGCAGTTTGAATAACAATTGAAACAATGAAAAGGATAAGTGGTCGGCTTCGATCGATGAATATCATTTGAATGCTGCTTTCATTAGCTGCTCGACCATCCATATTGAACTAATTCCCGTTGTTATGCCATCCAGTACTCCAAAAATACCTCATAACTTATGCACTCTCTAAAGAACACCAGATTTTTCCCAACGTTTTGTTTTTAATTCCACTTTACGTTCTGCTCCGCCCTGTATGATATCAGAGTATTGCGCAAGCTAAAGTTTCACACATGTCGTAGTTCTTCTTCTTCTTCGAGATGATTCCATGTCACGTGTTTTCTTTTTTTGCAATTACGAAACGTTCAGTTCATTTATTTCATAACTTCTTCATCGGTATTTAGTTCCGCTGTTCTCATTCATTCATTGACTCACTCACTCATCACTGCTCATCACTACTACTCGTTCTCTATATTATCCTATCACAGAATGGTTCGTCGGCGCGCTGCTTCTCCCAAGCCATCAGCTCCAGTTAGATCTGCTGCTCCTCCTCCAGCTAGAGCTGCTGCCCCAGCTCCAGCTCCCGCTCCAGCCCAATCCTCTTGGGGAAGACCAGGTAATTGATTACACTAATAGTGTTATCTTAATTCGTTGGCTTTAGCTGCTCCTGCACCAACTGCAGCTCCTACCCCAATGCCCGGTGCTGCTCCTTCCCAAGGACCAGGACTCATGGCTCAAATGGCTGCTACTGCCGGAGGAGTTGCTATCGGAAGTGCTGTCGTATGTTTTGATAATTCAGTGCTCAGCTTCATTGTTTTTGTTGTAGGGACATACCATTGGACACATGATGACTGGAAGCGGATCTTCAAGTGAAGCTGCCCCAGCCCCAGCTCCAGCTGCTGCTCCTCAACAACAACAATATGGACAACCCTGCGAGTTCGAATGGAAGCAATTCATTGAATGGTAATTCTGATGCGATGATATATACTCATACTGATATCCTTATTACAGCACCCAAACCCAAGGAGATGTCTCTATGTGCAATGGATTCAATGAAGCTTTCAAGTCATGCAAAGCCCGTTACGTTTAAGATCTGTTAGTGTTAATTATTCATTCAATTTCATGATTTTCTTTTTACGTTGTTAGCCATTTTATAGAGTTTAATGCACTAGAACTGCTGCAAGTAGAATAAATAGTGCGAACATACGACTTCTTCTTATCTCTCTCGGATTTCCCGAAAATATTTTTCCACGTTTTCCCTTGTGTTGATTAAGCATGCTCGGTCCTTATCTTTCCATGTGCTTTTCCTCGTTCCGAATTGATTTTCCTTTTTTTAATTCTTTCCCATTCTCTTTTCAGATGTCTCTTGTTGGCTTCATAGGGCTAGGAAACATGGGAGGCCATATGGCCAGAAATCTCATGAAGAATGGGCATAAACTTATCATCTTCGATGTTAACAAGAAAACCGTTGATCAGTTCAAGGTTGGAAGCCCATTCCATTCTCTTCACGTTCAGATGTTAAGGCTGAAGGTTGTCAAGTTGCTACACATCCTGCCGAAATAGCCGAAGCCTCCAAGAGCATCATCACTATGCTCCCCAGTTCTCCACACGTCCGTGAAGTCTACGGAGGAGACTCAGGGCTTTTGAAGTAAATTATGATAGATGACTCATCTATTGATGTTCGTTTAAGGAAAATGCAGAAAGACACTTTGTGCATCGATTCTTCAACCATCGATCAAGTTGCTTCCATCGAGGTAAAAGATTGCGAATTAATAAACCATGATTTGATTGAGTTTCTCAATTTTCTAAAATTATCCCTCTGGCTATGCGATTAAAGTTAATTATATACGTAGGTTGCCGGCTGGTGCGATGCAAAATCTAGTAAATACATCGATGCCCCTGTATCTGGAGGAGTTGGAGGTAGACTGAGATAGCAAAGTAACATACATCATGTGCTATAGGTGCTGAGGCTGGAACTCTCACTTTCATGGTAGGATCCGGTAATTGTTCCAAGACTTTTGCCAGAGCTTCTGAGCTTCTCAAACTTATGGGTAAAAACATTGTGGGTTTCATGATTCATCTTGATTCTCATCTGCGTCCCTATCCAGGTTGACTGTGGCAACGTAGGAAGTGGACAGGCTATCAAGATCTGCAACAACATGCTTCTGGCTATTGAAATGGTCGGAGTTGCTGAAACTATGAACTTGGGTATCCAGTAAGTATAATTGAGAAATCTGAGGAAGAAACTCTGTTCAGAATGGGATTAGACCCTAAGCTTATGGCTAAAGTTATGAGTACTTCCACCGGTAGATGCTGGGCTATGGACACCTACAATCCAGTCCCAGGAGTATTCCCTGACATTCCACCCAGCAAAGGTTATCAAGGAGGTTTTGGCAGTGCTTTGATGGCAAAGGCGAGTCGTACTTATCTTATAATTAAATTTTGGCATATTTAATTTATAGGATCTTTCCCTTGCTCAAAATGCTGCCACGAGTGTTCAGGCTCCCGCCCCCTTGGGTTCATTAGCACACCAGATTTACCGCCTTCTTGCTCAGTCGCCAGAGTATGCTGGAAAAGACTTCGGAATTGTCTATAAATTCTTGAAAGACCAGCAGGCTAAGTAAGAGTTGTGTTTGAGTTCGTCGTTTCCATGCTTCCAATCCACCCACAATCCCCGTGCCATACGAAATCCCATATCATTTCGTAGACATTTCTTTTTCATATTAGTGTTTTATGATTTTTATTACCTTATTTGGGTAATTCGTGTTTAGATTTATAATAGGACTTGTAAGCAGCGTTGCTAGGCATCCAATTTCATTATAATAAAAGATTTCTATCTATCAAGTTTTTTTCTTTCAATGTTGATCAGTTCGTGAATTATACTTGCACAGAAACCTTTTCGTTCCTTGTTCCGGAATAACAACTGATTTCAGCAAAGCGACATGTCGGCTCGTGCTCTTCATTACGTTTTCAAAATCGGCAACCGAAAGGCTTCCTATGACTTTTACACCAAAGTTCTGAAGATGAAAGTGAGTTTGTCCATTTAAGGACGTAACGCAATGGCTTTTTCCAGATTCTTCGTCATGAAGAGTTCACTGAAGGCTGTCAAGCTGAATGCAATGGGTTTCCCAAACTTGCTTATTAGTTTTTACTCGAGTTTGCAGACCTTTCAATGGCAAGTGGAGTAAGACCATGGTCGGTTATGGAAGTGAAGATCAGCATTTCGTTCTGGAACTCACTTACAACTATGAAATCTCTTCTTACACCCAGGGAAATGATTTTTGTGTTTGTGTACTCTGAGCTTTACCCCCTCATCGACCCTTTCGTAGGCTATAATAATCGAGTCTGAAGAAGTTTTCAATACCGTCAAGGCTCGTGGAAATTATGATGTTCGACCCTGCGGAAAGTTGGCAGTAAGAGTTTTCATTTCGATTTCCAAACCTTCTTTTCTTCTAAGATTGTTGATCCTGACGGTCATGGTGTGTACATTGCCAATGGGGAAACCGGCAAACCTGCAAAGATTATTCGTTGTTGTGTCAATGTCGAAAATTTGGAAAACAGCTTAAGTAGAATTGAATTAAACGCTATTCAAACTCAATTTACCAAATTCAGAATATTGGTGTGGCGTCCATAATATGAAACGTACTAAGTATAACGAAATCAATAAGACTGCTCATCTATCTTTCGGAGATGGACAGGTAACGTTATCTTAGTTTTGGTCTGATTAGGACTTTTGCAAGTTTCAGTGCATCTGGGAGTTGCGTGAACTGAAAGAAGGAAAGATTGACCGTGCTTCTGCTTATGGCAGAATTGCTTTTTCAATTCCTGCTGCACAGGTTCATTAATTATAGAGTCCTGTGATCAGTTTCTTGTTTGCAGCTAACTGCTTTGAACGAAAAAATGAAATCGTCGAAGTTGCCCATCTTGAAGGACTTGGTTACTCTCGAAACTCCTGGCAAGGCTGCCGTGCAAGTTATAATCCTGGCTGATCCCGTATGTACCCTTGAATTCGATATCTCCTATGACAATTGTTTTTAGGACAACCACGAGGTTTGCTTTGTCGGAGACGAAGGATTCCGTTCTTTGTCCAAAATTGATCCTAAGGCTGATGAGAAGATTCGCGAGTCCATCACCAAAGACGACAGTGATAGTTGGTTCACCAATGGCAAGAAGCGCGTTTGAATATAATTTGGGTTTCCCATCCATTCCTGTACTATTCCTATTCTTAACTTAATAAATATTCTTATTTACTCAAGACAGTAGTACATTGGGATAATTACTGAATACTTTATTTCTTGTTTCTCTCATACAAGTGGAAATTTCAGAGAGAGCTCTGATAAGTTGTGGACAGCTGCTTCTCCTCCTCAGAAGCCATTTCATTCACGTATTTCAACACATAAGTACAAGTAGGTTCTACTTTGAATTTGTTCTCAGCCGCATATTTGAAACCTTCCTGTAAATGATGATCATATGTCATATCATGTGCTTTTGTCGAACACAAACCGACACCAGAAGCTTTGCCAATCCTTTTCCTCTACCTTCGTCTGGAGTGAATGTATGTTGGAAGTCCAAAATTTTGCCTGGCAGCTCTTGATATTGCAAATAGGCTTTATTGCCGGTGGCTGCAAAAAGATATGAGCCAAATCGTAGTTTGTGCCAAACCGAGTTTCACGAAGAATTCTTTAGACTTGAGCGAATGCTGAACGCGCAACATCTGTGGCAATTCCGAATGAGAGTTGAATTATGCTGATCAAAGTAAGAGATTGAAAGAACAAATGTATATGGGAGTGCCTTGAAGAAAAAAAAAGTTTATTAGCATATTAACCATTATCACAAACAAGAGTTGATTATAGATCACATCAAGGTGACTAGAAAAGGAAGCAATAAGCTATACAGGGAAGAGAGAGAGAGAGAGATTGAAAGAGAGGTTAAAGACCACGGCTTTGATACCACATAAAGCCTTCATATTGAAGCTTGTGCTTACTAGTCCCTTATAAAGTGAGAAGAAAGTATACAATCGGGAGAATCCTGGCATATGATGGGCGAAAGGGTACGCTAAATGCAAAACTGTCTTTGATAAGCGCGAAAAAAAAAAGTTATGAAGATAGGACAGGGAGATCAGCGTCAACTTCCCATATTATCAGATGCGACATATCACGTACGAGAACCTTATCTCTTCCTTTTCGTTCTGGCTCATTTTCTTCGCCTAAATCATTTGCATCAAGAGACAGTAGATAGCATGAAATCTTACCCATGCGGAAGTCTATATAACCATCTCCACCGGATATAACGAGCATCTTTCGCAGCTCAGTTTCTTCTTCCGTAGCTTCTCCGGGAACGGCTAAGAAGAATTTCACACTATCTTTATGCCCATGGAATGATAGTTGGGCTTGCGTCAAATTACAATAAGGAATGTAATCTCCGGAACATTTTGATTTGTTCTAAAAGGTGGAAGGGTATGCTCGATAGCGATCATGTATGAAATACCTGGTTGTCCCCTGTCGTTGAAGAACTCTTAGAGTATACCCGCACTAAGCCACCTGGTCCAACGCTCTTTTTACTATCCGTTGAAGCTGAGGTTTCTACTTTTTGTTCAAGAGCTTAATGATCTCCAAATTAAGAAGTAAATTCCATATGTAACTCACTGTCACTTAAGGGAACGGAGATGACAACACCAGTACCTGTTCCTATCCACAGTCTTCTGTTAGATACAAGAAGAGCTGTTATTCTCATGTAAGAGAAATCTAATCGTGAAGTGCCTGAATATGCTAATTTCAGAAAACCGTCAAAGCAACTCTTCTAAGTGCAATTTGAATTTTATCGCCCGTGGGTTTCACGTGAATTAGACGCCGAGTAATCACGTGGATTTCATTCGTCTAGTTGCATTCAGTGCGAACGGTTGAAAAAAACCGAATTGAAGTATGCATAAAACGTACCGAGCATTTTTGTGACATAAGGTTCAATATCAACATCTTGCAGATGTTCGAAAGTGTGAGCGTGGAAAAGACGGAGCGAAGAATCAAGTCGAATGCTAATCCAAACTCCAGCACCTATCCACTGCATGTTACGAATCTGACTGTCTTTCCGTGGATGAGCAGCAAATATTTTCTAAAACAGTTAGTTCTCTTTTGATTCGCATTCAAATTTTGAACATACCACTACTTGTAAGCTCTCCCCGTCTATCACAATTATGCAGTTCTTGTAAGCTCCCCATACGTTACCTCCTACTACGCATAATGCGCGAACTGAAGAAGTAGCTTTACCAACTCTGATAGAATGATAGCCAGAGTCACTCCATTCACCATCTGTAATGCAGACTTAGTCTCGAGAGTATTATGAAATCTCATACCTTTGTCTCGATGGAAAACAGCAATAGTTCCATTAGCTAAGGCAGCGAATACACGTCCTTTGAAATGCCTGAAAGCAGAGTATTGATGTGCGAAATGTGACTAGTTCCATCTTACACAATACTCAACACCGCATCGGGTAGTTTTATTTTTCTCAGACATTTATTCCATGAATTAACGGCTGAATGGATGAAGACGCTTCAAATGAGAGTATTTGCATTGGAGTTGCTTTCATAAGCTTTCTTACTATTGGTTTTGGCTACCTAGCCAAACTGTGGGGATTGCAGTAGTTGTACTATCCTTCAATGAATCATACTTGCTCATAGCGTCACGTATATGTGGAGGGAAAGCTGCTCTTCCCACTTTGGGTTTTTCTTTGGTAGCTGAAAGGAGTATTAGTTTGATATCTAACTTGAACTAGGATTAGAAAGTGCGTGAGGCAACTGAATAAGATAGAAAAGCAGACAGAGCACAAAACCACACTACATGTAATCCACCTTCACTATCTTTCAGTTTTTCAAGAGGTATAAGGGAAAGGCTTAAAAGAGTTGCGCCATAATCGGAAGATTCACGGGCTTCTTCAGCCTCCTCTATACGCACCACCTTAGCTAAATAAGGAAAGAATGGGATATCTTTCGAGATTAACTAAGCTACTGATATTTATAATATATTTGAAAGTTTTACCTTCTTTTTCGGGCGAAGCTGCTGGTGCTGCTTCTGCATCAGAGATACTGACTGAAAGAAAGAACATTAGGTTTTGTTTGTAAAGATTGCTTACAGTCTCGCGATCGTTTTGGACTGGGCTTCACATCGTTAGGGCAATAGGTGGGAACACCGTCTTCCCCATCTTCCAACTTGCGTAACTCAACCCATTCGCATGCACCCAATTCAGAGATTGTTTCCAGATCTACAAAACCTATTTGTTTTTCGTCTCTAGATAGTTTACTACCTGTAGGACAGTCCTTCACTTTTCCTCCTCCGCTCAAAAATTTCTTCGCGGAGGCCTCATTGATATGAGGATCATCCTCTGTTACACCTGAGAGTTATCGTGTAAAGTCAGCTGAGCTAATAAAGACACATACCAGGGATCCCTTGCATACATAACAAATGGCTCTCACAAGCTTCAAACGTATCAATGACGTTGTTCGGATTGTTAGCATCCAAAATGGCGACCAAGCTTCTTCCTTGATTGGAACTTCCTATCCAAATAAGAGAAGAGGATTCCCATTCTCTCAATTCACTTTCTCTCGCATCAATAGCATGTGCTCTCTGTAAATATTCGACGTTTATGTATAAAGGGCTCTTATGACTACCAAAATTTCTGTTTCCAACTCTCTATCTTCTTCTGGTTTGGGCAATTTTTTCGCGCAAGGAGAGAAATACACAGGCTCCCCTGTTATATAAGTGCCGTCAGGGTTTCTACCTCCTCTCAAAGTAACTCCTGTGGAGCACCAAACCTAGAACAGACATGTTTAACAAGCTTACAGAATAGCAAAGACACCTTAATGTTTGGTTGGGTATCCATAAGAGGTCTACAACAGACTGGTACAGGCACCATTGGCGACGATGGCAATGATTCGACTGCTGGTAATGACCAACCATAAGCCTAATATCTCATAGTTTACGCTTTCTATAATCTCAGATATACCTCAATGCGCCCACTATCATCTCGCTTAACATGCTCTCGAACTAGTTTGTATTGCTCGCGCCTTTCTGCTTGACGTCTCTCGGAGATCCTAAACATGTTGATGAGTAACTATCGAAACTGCACATCACATCACAACATCAATAACAATCTTTAATAATATGCTATTTTGACATACTAACCCGTTCAAAACTACAAAAAAAATAAAATTGCTCATTGGCAAGTATAAAACACTCTTTAAAGGCTTTGTAAAAAAAATATGAAAATTTCCTGAGGAGGAATTGATGTTTTGATTAAAATTCAAATGCTCTAAGGGGCGACTGACATTTCTGGATCAATGTATTCAACACTTCGTGTCATTTGCTTGCGACCATCCAGGCCAGCTCTGCGGGGATTCGTGGGTGATGGAGCTGTTTCTCCGAACAAATTAGAAAAGCTATAAAACATTTTTGTCACATGAAGCGTTTTTGTTTGAAAGCTTACAAATCCCAAATTCCAGCGCTCTTCTTGGGAGGAAGAACTTGTTGCTGCTGTAGCTTTCTAGCTCTTTGCATCTCTGTCCATTTGAGAGATTCTTCAAGCTCCATAAGTTTCTCCTTCAAAGGGTTAATGAATAAGCTTGATTAGTCATGATGATCCTACTTTGTAAGAGTTTCGGTCGATAAGGACTCTCTGCATCTCAGAGCGAGTGAAACGTTTTCTGTGAGCATTCGGCACATCTTCCTGAAATAGCTGATTTCATTCATTGCAGAAACTGGTGAATATGATAAACCTCTTCTGTTTCCGTTTCTTTTTCGTTCAGCTTCTGCTTGAAGGATTTGACTTCCTCCTCTAGCCGTTCGATTGTATCACTCATCTTCACCCTGACCATTTCTAAGCTTCTCACTTCATCACGAAGAATGTCATTTTCACTGTATTTATATTGTACTCAAGAAAGAGAGTATTGAAAACCTGCTTAGTTCATCAACACGAGCAATCAAGTCGTTCTTGACAATGTTCAAAGCATTCTTCATATCCAGAAGTTCTGTATTCTCTTTAATGAGATTCTCAACTTCGCGTCCCATTCCTGAATGTTGACGTTGATTAAAGAAGTCCATTACTATAGTCTTTGAAAAGCCATGCTTCAAAACTCTTGTTATATTTGCAAAATAAGTATTTCTCATAACATTAGTCAGACTAAGGAAATTTTAAAATTGATTCAAAAAGTTGTTTTGCGCTTAAAATCCCGCCATCTAATTTAGTCTTCACAACACAAGAATGGAACGACACAACAAAAACCCACCTATGAAAGTGTCATTAACTGAAAAACGGTTGTTAGATCGATAGAAAAAGTTATTTGGCGTGCTATGCTAGTGATGTGCAACGAAAAACCAAACTCAAATCTCACACAAACAGTTAGTTGAAGATACGCCCGCATAAATATCAAACTTAAGTAACAGTCAATCATACCCAGGTCTTCGGAATCTTCTGAAGTCGAGCGTATCCTCTGTTGTTTAAGAGCCAGTTCGAAGTCGTCATCGGAGATATCTACACAACACAACGATGAAACGAAGCTAACAAGCTAATCAGGTGTAAACCAAGAAGTGGATTTCTATTTGAAAAGGGTGCGAAAGACAAAAACTTAAAAGCATCAACAACACGTAAACTTTCACAAATACTACATCAGTAGTCCTACCCGCTGAAGCGAACTCCGCCGGATCAACGATGTTTCCTGTACTTTGTAATGTAAGAAGGAAAAGTGATAGTGATAAAGAGATATAAACATGAGGGAAAATGTTTTAAAACGGTTGTTTTGTTTGGAAAAGGGAAAGCTCATACCTGTGAGGTCGGCTCCCAAAGTATCCTCCACTTCTGAAGCTTCTTGAGCATCCCTAAATGCAGTCAATAAGTATCTCTTTGGTTTCAATTTGTACTTTGTTGTTTCTTGTTGTTCTTGCGCAGGCTCAGCTGGCTTCTCTGGTTTAGACTCTTCTTCTTGGGTCTCTTCGAACTTCTCATTAGGAGGTTCTCTGGGTGATGGTTCGACATCCGATGAGAATTCATCTTGCCAATCAGCTTAAGAGGAAAAAAAGGAAATTTGCGAAAGAGATCCAGACCCTGAAATTCTTACCTTCAGTTATATGATTAGCCAAATTGACATCCATCGTTGTGCTTTGAGTCATGTGTGCACTGATTAGATCAGAAACTCCTCTTATATTGGAAGCATCAACTGAAGTGGCCATGCCCATTCTGGAATGGAAAGGATGAACCTTGTTTTAACATGTATGAGGATTAACTGAATGTTAAATATAAATATGAAAGGGGTTAACACATAGAACATAAATTTAACGTAAGAAACTGAAGCCGAAGATAGAGGCACACTGTGTGAAACTGTTGTTTCTTAAACGCATGCACCCTATACAACTAGTAGAAACTCACGAATACTGCGAACCAGAGGGCAGGTAGAAGCTATAACAAAGGAACACTACTTACTACATACTGAACTGTTTTAGAAATAGCTTTTCGCATGGTTGTTACTAATACATTCATAACCATCACCAAATCACAACAATAAAAGCTCTACATACACAAGCGCAACCGGGAGCTACGTAAGGGAAAGTAAGGGATAGCAAACCTTGTCCGAAGTTGTTGTTGGGGCAATGGCATGTTCTGCATCATCTCGAACTTATCATTTCCCATAAGATACTTCGTTCTCTCCATGTGATCAACATGAGTCCGCAACAAAGTGTTGTATCTGTTGAACATACAATACTAAGAACTTAGACCTTCAACCGAACTCACCTATCGTGCAGACGATCGAACTCTAACTTCTGTTCAGCTTCTCTCTCCTCTAGACGAGTAGCTATAAGTGAGAAACACAGTTATACAAAGAAAAACGAAGTGCAGTTCACCATGATCGGCCGCGTTCTTAGCTTTGAGTTCGAGCATTCGCATTATTGATTCAAGAGATTGTATTTTATTCTCCAGTTCCTTTTTCTCGCCGACCATATTGTCTTCTACTTCCATATACTTCTGAAAAAAAGGTGAATGACGACGGAAACAAACAGTACGACAAACCTGTTCCGCAGCCCTACGTGCGGCTTTTTCTCTTTCAAACATATTCAGCAACTGCTCATTATCCTCTTTCAGAATCTCTATATCAGCAGCATGTTCATCACGTTCTAACAGAGTAACGTCGAGAGTTTCAAGAACATTCACCACGAGAGGCATCAAATTCTAAATCGCGAAAAAACAATAAAACATGTTGTCTGACATCATACCTTTACTCCGTCTTCTCCCTGTTTTTGAATCATTAATTCAAATTCCCGGTAAATGGCGGACGCCATATTTTGCACTTTTTCGGACATTACCCGATTATCGTCTCCAAGAGGAGATCCAGTGGATCCGTAAACCACCTGGAACAGAGAACTTGTAAACCGGAGGAGTATTAGGGGAAGGCTTGGCAGCACGACCCAATCAAATTGATAACAAGGTCACGTAGAGCGATTACAACACAACTGTTGTCATTATTTTCACAATTGTAAATCTTACTCTCTATCGACATTATCATAAACTGTAAAGTTACTAACCTCAGATGTCGGATTAGGTGATGGTTCTTCCATGATTTATCGATTGCAGCTTACTTTTATAGCATTCCTGAAAAGCATTCAGTCTGTACAGATAGCTGCTAGTACAAATATGATTCAAATCAAGTTGTTATGAAGCTCAAAGAACACTGAATCAATACATGCCATGTGCCTCAGCTGGTTATTGGAATACGATAAACAGAAGAGTCCCGCCCCTGTGGCGTCTCTCGAGCTAACACGCCTTATGACGCACCCAGTCTCTCACATATTTAATTTTATGCATTAGATAATCTAGCTTCTGCATATTAAGAATAAATGGAATTGAGAAAAACTCAAGGCTCACAAAGGAACCGTAATATCTCAGAAAATGATATCTCTCAGTCTCGCTCTCTCAAAGTACAAAATCAATTAGTGCATTTCAAGTGCTACGTGATATTCAGTCTGTTCTGATTCGTCTTTCTTACACTTCTCGAATTATGCTTTAAGCTTTAACATTACTATATTTGGTTTGATTTTAGGTTCAAATGAACGGTGGACCGAGAATATCATCAATAATTCGGTCATGTGAGCGTGAAATCTCTCCTATATTAGAAGGGTTCGGATTAATATTTCGTAGTCAGTTGGGTTATGAAGGACGCAAGGTTGGGAAGAAATTATCTCGCAAATGCCTTCAAATAGCAGTAAATGGGGGAACTATAATTGATCCTCAAAACAAAGCAAAGGTATTCATATAACGCTAGTTAGATAACATGACTGTGACGATTCTAGTCAATAAGCCCAGTAACAGATGTATTGGAGCGAGCCCATGTTGTAGCAACAGGAATCAAAACATTTGCACAACTTCTATCTCAAGGTTTGTTGTTTGTATCATTTGATTGACGTCTTAACTAATAATATGATACAGGGCTTGTACCTGGTATGGGAGGTTACACTATCAATTCTGAAGGTGAAAAAGTATATGGTTCAAGTTCATTCAAAGCTCCTGATGTTGTGCAAAATTTATCTAAAGTAGCTGATCTAGTCAAAAGCGGAGCAATGCAGCTTCCTTTAGGAGGTCTTCCAAATTTACTTAAACTGGGGGAACTTGCTACTAAAGCTATAGACACCTCTAGTCCGTCTCCATTATTCTCAGAATCTTTTAGAAGAGGTAAAAAACTCTTTGTCAAACTTCATGAGAGCTCTGGTATTGAAGGTAGAAAAGTGAAGCCTATCGAAGTCGAAACATCATCAGCTCAGCCTGTTGAATCAGATACTGGACTGACTCCAGAAGAAGAACAATTTCTCATCAAAGCTGCTGAATCCGTAAATGATAAAGAGGCTGTGAATAAAATTTTAACGAAAAAGTCAAATGTCAGTTGTTTTTCTGCGTCCTCCTCCTCAAGCTTATTTTCAGGTTTATCGCCCAAGTTTGCCTGATGACTTCAAAGTCGAAGAAGAAGATCGTTCCGCTATTCTTGCAAATAGCAAAGAGAGCAAAGTCCCGTCGAGTCGTATTGGCAGGTTCTTTGTTACAAACTCGCCATTATTTCGTTGTTTTGTTCAGATTTGCAAGCTTCGGTCAGCTAGCAATAGGGTTAGCTGGAGGCGCTGCCGCGGAAATTACGCGCAGAACGTTTGGCATGGGAGATGCTGATACTAAAAGCCCTTTCTTATCAACAGCTAACGGAGATAGGATAGTTCAAACTCTTTGTAGAGTAAGCTCCAGATGTATTTTGTGCAATAACGTGCTTGATAGGTTCGTGGAGCCGCTTTAAAGTTGGGGCAAATGCTTTCAATTCAAGATCCTGAAACCGTTTCTCCGGCTTTGCTCGAAATTTTTGAACGTGTTCGTCAAAGCGCCGACTTCATGCCCAGTCGCCAGGTTTCTGAGAATCGACACCACCTTCTCATATAAATATATTTCAGGTGAGCCAGCAAATGGAAGCAGCTTTTGGTGAGAATTGGAGAGACCACTTTGAGTCATTCGAGGAAAGGCCGTTTGCTGCAGCTTCTATTGGAGAGGTAATTCGAATCTAAAAAAATAAATAAAAACCTAATACATACCTGCGATATCCTTTCCTTCTTGCGAGCAACCATCACTGCGCGTCATCAATTGAAATATGTAAAAGACACGTAATGCGTGCTGCGATGTAGCGTGACGGCCGCGTGATTCACGTGGAATTAACATAATATGCTTAATGGGTTCAACGGAGAAACTACTTGCAGGTCCACAAAGCAATTCTAAAAGATGGAAGAGCCGTTGCTGTGAAAATTCAATATCCTGGAGTCGCTGCAGGTTTTGTTGCATTTTAATGTTTTAAATTTGTCATATGAGTTTTCAGGCATTGACTCAGATATTGATAATCTTGTGTCTGTTCTATCTGTCGGAGGTATTGTCCCTAGCGGAATGTATTTAGATGCGTTTGTCGCGGTAAAATTCAGGGGTCTTTCCTCTTTATACTTATGAATCCAGGTAGCCAGAAGAGAGCTTCGCCAAGAATGCGATTATCTGAGAGAAGCAAGAGCAATGAGAGAATTCAAGAAGCTTCTTGCAGGCTCCAATGACTATTATGTTCCTGAGGTATGCAAAGCATAACTCACTGAGAGGGAAAGAATTGCTCTTATTAGGTTATCGATGAACTTTCAACAGATCAAGTTCTCACAACAGAATTTATTGTTGGTAAGCCAGTGGATAAGTGCTTGAATGAACCACAGGTTGTTCGGGATTACATTGCTGGCAAGTTCATTGAACTCTGTCTGAATGAGGTTGTTGTCTGTTGATGTGAAATGTTTAATTGTGTCGATTGAGATTTTCGTTTGGAGATTTATGCAAACTGATCCAAACTGGTCGAACTTCTATTTGGGTGTACATCCTACTACAGGTTTTTATCAGATACTTGTTTGTTTCGTTAATTATGTGTCTGTTTTCAGGCGAACCCCGTCTAATCCTTCTCGATTTTGGCGCTTCTCGTTCTTACGGAAAACAATTCGTTGATAAGTACATGAAAATAATAAAAGCCGCTTATGATTCGGACGATGAGAAGATCTTAGAGTAAATCGCTAATGGCCTAATATAGAGAGTAATGTATTGCATTCAGGTACTCTCGTGATATTGGCTTCTTAACGGGATACGAAAATCAGATCATGAATGAAGCTCACATAGCCTCAATTAAGATCATCAGTGAAACTTTAACCAGTGATCATCCTTACGACTTCAGTCAGCAAACCCTAACAAAACGAATTCATGATATGATTCCCGTTATGTTGGAGAATAGGTTCTTCAGTTGTCTGAGCTGGGTTCTATGTTTCTTTTTCAGACTTACTTCTCCTCCGGAAGAAATCTATTCATTACATCGCAAATTGGCTGGTTCTTATCTGTTAGCTGTTAAATTGAAAGCAACTGTGTCTTGTGGAGGATTGTTCCATGAGATTTACTCCAAATACAAATTCGGTGATGAATCAGGAACCATAGATATCGATAATGTCAAATAGAAAGCTAGCTCTCGTCATAGGTCATCATTACTTGTTTTCAAAGCCGGTGTAATTTTTGTATTATTTGTTTGCAACTGTTGATGTTTTACAAGTTTATGAATTCATCGTTTTATTGTTGATAGGGGTTGATACCCATCGTATTTTCTATTCTTTCATTCAACCCTTGCCATCAACTTCCTCAGCTCTGAGAGTGAGTTGACTTCACAGGAGGCTTGTATACAATGGCACAGTTCCGATCGCGTACTTTTCAAGGTTTCAACGTTCTCCTAACGCCAATTTGCAAATTGTATTCCCTCTTGCCTCTATTCCTTCCTCTTCCGTCGGGAAATTCTTTTGAATTACCTCTATAGCCTTACAATCCAACAGCAAGTAGTTCTTGTATTCAGATGTTGCCAGATCTGTCGCCTCATCTTCATACGCGGGAATGCAATTTTCTTATTGATCTTCTACATAAGTGTCACGAAGAAAAACAATTAGGTAACCTAGTCCTTCTTGCGGTCTCTGAAACAGTTCATTCAGGTAAAATGTTCGGTCAGTGTTCATATTGGGATGAGGCTGTCTGGCAATGTACGAAGAAGGAGAGGATATGGCGAAGGTTCCCTGTTCCTATAGTTTTGATATGACAACTGTACTCTTTACAGAGATAACAATCCAAAGTATTCTAGGAGAAGAATAGAACTACGAAATCTACCTGAATCTTACTGGACTCCTGTTCTGCAGCGTCTCAGAGACGAAGGAGTAATGCCAGATTTATCTTCTGCGAATGATGGTTGTAGACTTTGAATTTTAGAAAATTGATTAACAAATGAGCTTCTACAGTTAATAAACAGCTCACGTTGCTGAGAGTTTCACTGAGATCAATGAATTATTAGTATCTCTTTGTGCTCTGTAGTTGATTATCTACGTTTCATCTGCAATGGGTGGTAGTTTGTAGTTCGTAGTCGATGGTGTTGTTAAGAATGAGGCGGGAAAATATGGGATTGTTGTCATTTGTTGATTTCTGTGTGAGTGAGAGTGGTTGGTAGTAGTAGGAGGATTATGATTTCTATAAGTTCTTAATCTCTAATTGTTTGAGTTGGATTGTCGAGTAGCAGGAGAAGGGTGGTTTTCCTTACGTTATCATTTACGTTAGCATCTATTCATCTCGAATACTTCAAAGCGGGAGTGAGATGTTATGTTTTATATTTTCTAATATTCTTGTAAGAAGAGAGGTCATGCTTGAGGAGAATATGTAAAAAGAATGTGACGAGAGATGTGATCCCGGGGGAGGGCAGTATGATAAAGTATTAGGATTTCTTTTGTAATTCAACCACTGAGGTCTCCTCATGACTTAGATTAGATTGGGTAGAAAGGTAGGAAGCATTAGAGAGGTCTGAAGAGTTGTTCCAGGATTGAGAAGGGTTGGATGGAAAAAGAGAGGTGTGGGAAGAGAGTATGTAGTGTAGTCAGGGTATGAAGTTATCCTAAAGAGAGGTATAGTAAAACAGTATCAATTATTTTGGGATATTTTGAAAAAATAAGAGGAACTGGAACTTGGAGCTTCTCATACAGTTAAACCATTTACTGTTAGTGTCGTATTCCGATCAAGTTCGCAGTACAACCAAAAGAAGAAAGGAACTGAGTATGTACGAAGTGCGTATGTGGGAAGGGAGAAGGATGGTTCCTTCTCGGATACCACTACTTTTACCTAGATAGACAAGGTATAATCTTACTATTTAAAAAAATTATTTCTAAGAATTGAAATTTTAAACATTAACCTTCCCTATAACAAGATCTATTAGTATATTTCAACCCTTTTTCCCGTTCATTCGTACGTCATGTGGGTGTCGTGATCATACTAGGCACACTGGTCATTGCGTACTGGCGGTCACCCTGTAGCACTAGCCATTCCTAACCTGGATGACACAACCGTACACAGGATCCGAACCAACCATGTGGATTTACCAGTGGCTAACTAACCACTACTCCACTAGGCCCCATATCCCTAGTATTTTTAGTTTCCATATATAGGATGGAAAAGGATAGGAGAAAAAAAGAAAGGAGACAATCCCTCAGAGACCTGCTTTAAGCAGGTCTCTGAGGCTTCCTCTCAACATGAGGAGTTACCCACTGCTCACACTCCTTTCGACTTTGGACTCCTTTCATTCTACTCATCAGAGTCATTCCAACCTTCAGTTCCCACTTATCAGCTATTCTTTCCATTGTCTTTCGAACTCGATCCCATTCAGTTGGACGACCATCCTGCTCAGTCCCAAGGTGGGGCCAAAGGGTGACTGAACTTTCAAGAAGTCTATCTTTCATAAAACTCGAGCAAGAGAGAGAACAGAAGTTCTAGGGTCAAAGTGAGAAATCCAAGTTGTTCAGACATTGAGGGTAGAAAGAACGGAGAAAAGAAAACCGTGAAAACTCTCTCATCCTTCTCACACTCCTCTTGTCCGTTGATTCGCTTCTATACGATAGAGATAGTCTGAAATTAACAAAAATAGAATCAAAGAAGTATTGGTATCAACTTATCTCTTAACTCTCCACAAGCTGTTACTCACTACTGACTGGATTGAGAGGCATGGTAGCTACCAAGCGAACAGCTCGGAACAGTTTGAAACAGAGACGATTCAGATCAGTTATCAGATGTCAGTCCTCATACTCCTGAATCCTTGTCTTACTTGCAGCGGAAACCTCTTCGAACAACAGAATTCAGTTCTAATAGTAAAAACAAAGAACACGACACAATGAATTTGAACATCACCTCAAAACGAAGTCCAATCAATGGCGTTACGAATAAGAAAGTAAACAACGTAAACAGAATTCAATCAATAGTTTTCACTGTCCAGTGATCGTGCTATGTACGATTGAAATGAGGAAAGAAGTATTTCTAATTGGTTCGAACGAAACTACAGGCTACAACAACATCTGCGAATGGTTCATAATGAGTTGCCTGAAAAAAAATTCTGAAACTGGTATTATTGAAGAAAGTTAGTGAAACCTGGAGCTTCCTCTAAACGTTCATTTTCATTTCTCGGGTGGATTGGTACTTTGTGGTCGTTCTTCTTTTTTCAAGTAGTCGGGCACTTGTTGGTAGTTCATGTATTTTCGTTATCACCTAACACCGCACTAAGAAAGCGAGATTCATTGAGCAGCTGTGGCACATGGTACGGTGAAACATGAATCAGAACCAAAAAGAAGGCGAGTCTTACTTCAACTGCGCGAAGATGATATACTCACGTAAACTGAAACAGTGATAAATGAATCGATCAATATCTTACATACCTCGCTTAACCATCAAAATCTGAGAAAAGATCTGATCGATATTGTTTTCTACCCATACTTTGAACGGAACGTACGACTGCAATCCATAGTGTGGTGGTATGTATGTAGTTTGAGACTGTTTCTATTTGATATCCAACTCTGAGCAAAGTTATGTAAACCTTCATAACGATGAGAAAAGGCCTGGTTTGGAACTGGCTCTCTGAGATTTCCGTCAAGGAAGCAGAAATCATAATCCCACAGCTAAGTGATTCTCAAGTGGATTCCAACAAATC